TGAACGTATTGAGAAAAAGTGATCAGATTAGTTGAAGTTGACCTCCTCGGAGAGAAGCCATGCTGGCATGATGTGATCCTAACAGAGCCCGTATTCTCGTAACCTGAGAATAACGTTCTCAATTGCTCTGTTTTTGTCAGTATTATGGAAATAACAATATCGGCGATCAAGACAGAGCTAATCGTTCTGTCGAGAACGCTGTTCCCCAGTTACGAGAATACGGGCCCAGATATCTCACCGAAGAATACCTCGAAAATTATCACTTCAAATATCTTTGAAACCGCAGACGCTATGAGTAAAAATAGAGGACTTTTTCCGGAATCGATCAGAAACACTATTTTTAGTGGTTTAATAAAAATCAATTCTTCTTCTTCTTCAGGTGCCATCTCCTCTGAGAATCACAGCTATTCTCATCTTTGAAGCTGGCTCTCAACGACTCAATGGAACTATAGTTGTACCGCACTGTCTTAGGTTATTCAATCAGAAAATGCATTTTATTCTTCCACTTCCCCCCCCCCCTCATCAGGTGGCCAAGACATTGCAACTTCCTTATTTCAATTGCATTCAATATTTCTTCTCCTTTCTCTTTTCTTCCCAATACCTCTACGCTTCTCCCCTGTGCACCCAGCTTATCCTCAGCTTAGAATCCCTCTATATGACCACATCTCAAATGCATCGAAACAATCACGCATGTTTTTCTTCAACGTCCATGATTCCATCCTGTGAAGAAGCACCCAAAAGTCATTATTTCAATGTTCTAATTTTTAGAGATTGATCAGGATCTATACTACACAGTACCTTTCTCATTTTGTTAAACATGAATCTGGCTTGCACAATTCTTGATTTAATTTCTTCCTTCACTTAAAATTGTTCGTAAGTTTTTATGTTTATGTTTACACAAGTGGAAGCGTATACCTGAATGATGTTAAGTATTCCATGGGTTGTTTTATTTGCTCTTATCCTCATTACTCTATATGAGACGGGGATGAAGCTAGTCACAGTCTGACAAAAGCCTTTGCTCACCACAATCGCTACTCCTTTTTGGTGATGTTCGTCGTTGTTACCCGAGTAGTATATTCTAGCTTGGTCAATTTGCATTTCTCGAGAGTTAGGCCATCTGGTTTCACTCAGTCCCATTATGTTCACTTTAAGTTGCTAAGTACATTTCCTGGCGCACGTTATGAATTTTACCTGCCTCAAATACGGATCTGATGTTTGTAACCTTTTTTGTTAATGAATTAACAAGAGGTCCATAATGGGCTCGGTTTGCTCAGCGAAAAATTATTAGTTGTGGGTTGATAGTTTAATCAGCACAGAATGGCAAGGGCGCCACTGAACTTTTAAAAAATAATAATAATTGCATAAAATATGGGACGTGAAAGTTCAGAAACACACCTAAAAAAAATAATCAGCAAACGGTAATTGGTAATTCTGGAAAGAAAGAGGCACACAACTCAACCATCAAAATGATTGAAAATTATATTGATAAATATGGTCAGCTTCTGTAAAAAAAATTAATTCAATAAAATCAAATTGTACCTGAAAGAATTCGAAAGTAGTAACCGTTAAATGGTCTGGAAATATAATAGAAATCCTCAAATATATAAGTCGTAGGACCCAGGATTAAAAATTGATCAATTTTTGACGGTAGCCTATTACTCAACAATTTTAAATTCAGAACATGTTGTCTAACCTTGACCTTTGTTCAAATTACTTACGCTCGAATGCACCGTTTGTTGATTCTAATCCTAGGTCCCCAATCCCGTTTTTGTAAACTTTGGCCTATTTTATGCACCATCGGCGGATCAACTAATCCGGAGGGGAAGTTTGGCAACGTTGGTATCCCAAGAGTTTTTGACACTTTTTATGTCAACTTGTTAGAATATTGTCAATTGTCAGTTTCGAATTTCAATTTTTACTTGATTTTTATTCTTATTTTCTGAAAATATCCAAAATATTAAAATGACTGATGAAAACACTAATTAAAGGAGATTCTTTTATTGGGAAAAAGGCAGAGTGTCATGACTCATAAGGATACTTTCAAAATTCGCTGCTGTCATCGAAGACAAAAAAACAAAGTTTCCAATGTCGGGAAGTCTCAAGCATAGGCTAGATACTAGCTATTATCTGTAGTTGTTATACTACTACCCATTCACTACACCTCGTATCGCCAAAAAATTACTTATATGTAGCAGGACATTCCCTGTAGAATAAGTTGGATTTGAAGAAGGTGCATGAGGTGGGGTAATCTAGCTAGACAACTTATTAATAGAAAGACATACTTTCTTCTATCTATCAAGTAACAAATCATTTTGGAATTTAATTTCTTCTATGTTCTCCAGGAAGTTAGGATTTGTAGGTTTCGTAAATCGAAATCTTCGAAAAAACGAGTGATAATTATCCATATTGTCGAAATAATCACTTCTTTCGTAGACTGTAGACTTTGCGAGATCATCATCTATAAATATTTCGTCCTCTAAATCCATTTTATACCAGAATAATGAAAAACTTGTAAAAGAAACTTCAAAATCGGTGCCAAAAAACACCGTTCCGCTAATCCACGCATCGTTGACCGATTAGATAATTTGAAGCTTAAACCGAATTTTCCTTGCGGTGCATAAGAAAACTATGTCTAATCCAAATTTTCGTAACTAATCCTCGAAATTAGCTTGTGGTGTATACCTGAGTTATCGATTATTATAGATAAAAATGATGAAATATAAGGCCATATTGAAAGTTAGGCGAAGACAAATCCATAATAAATTCGATAAATTGAAAGCTGATTCTCCACCATCGTGTCAAGGATCAGAGAATTTAAATGTTGCATGAAAATCATATAAAAAAAAAGTATCTTAAATTTGTTAAAAAACTGATTTGACGAAGAAAACCGCACATGGAACTGGCAGATTCCAGTCCAGAATTCAGGCAGATAAGGGACTAGAATTGTCGTCAAATGTGGAGCACACGTATCGACTTGTGAGGATCTTGATTCTTGTAGAGTAGGAATCCCTTCAAAAGCTCTATGCCACACTCCACGGAAATGGTGTTCTATTGAAAATGTGGCCTTTTTGTAATGGACTTGTAAGAGAAACGGCTCTCCAAAAGACCCTAAGTAATTCCTTGAAAAGCTATTACTAAAAAAAAAAAAAAACTTACCACGAGGTGGGTTGAAATTCAATCTTAAATTAAATGGTAATCACAAGACTTTTGCAATCAACAGATTATTGCCTCACGCAACTTAATTTGTTGAAATAAGGTAATGCCTGAAGGCCGATAAGGTACTTTATTTTTCTACGGAGCGGTTGTCTCGAGAAGATGGCGATTTTCAGCCGATCGACCTTGCAGCTCGACGACACAATTCAAAAGGGGAGAGAATTGGTACGGACCAGGTGAGCATAAGCGCTTCCTCTCCAGATAGTCAACGGAAATTGTTGGTACTCACCGGTGCGTCAAATTTAAATGAAAATCGTGCACTCTAGTGTAATTATTTAATAATTGCTATATAATAAGTAGCGGGAAACCTGTATTTTTTTAATGCTAGTCAACAATTATAACAAGTAACTTTAAACGGTACATGTTCCATATATCGATCTGTACGTCTCTTTCCTTCTTAGATTTTTCCTAAACTATCCCCACTAGAGATCCGAATGCAGGACGAGAAACTCCGGAACATTTCGCCTTGAACTTAGCCGTTGGTTAACTGAGAATATCCATTATAGGACCCTTAATGCAGTGGTTTCCCGTTCTCTTCTGCATATTCTTGTAGTTCACCATTCGTTGGTTTCTGCTTTCAGGGGCCTATTTCATAAAAATGAAGAGGTGAGGAGTGAGGAGCGACATAATGCTATATTTCATTTCATAAAAATTTTGAAGAGTTAAGGAGTAGACGCAAATTTATTTTGAAACAAAAACGACATTTACTTTCCACTCCCCAGCTCTTTACCCTTCATTTGTCGCTCATCAACTCTTCTTTTTCATGAAACTGGCCCCAGGAATGATTTCTCATCACAAGGGTGCCTTGTGATGTGCTCTCCTCCGCCTGATGCCATTGGCCACCTAGATTAGATCTAGTCGATCCTAGTTTTGGTTCGCCTCAAGTATTTGACTTCCTCAGTACCTATATCTGGGAGGCATCCTATCCGCCGCCCGAGGAGGCGTCCCAGGAGACGACCGGGGAGGACTAACAACTCCACACAGGAAAAAGTCAATTGCGGGAGTTTCAAAAGTATTAATTTAAGATTACGCACAAGATCACAGTTTAGTCTAGTCTAGTTGTAACTAGAGCAAATTAGTCGGTACAGACATGAATATAATAAATATTTGACAGGAACTAAAAAGTGCATTGAATCCCAGCAGTGAAACGCATTGAAATCTGGATTATTACTTCAAGACGCAAGGTGTTTATCGTTCTAAATTTCTTAGGAGAACGAATTGACAAATAAATAAATCTGGCTCGACGGACAAAAGGAATTGTCTCAACAAGTGAAACCACTTGTTTACTTACATATTCTATATATTAAAATATCGGTTAAAGGCATAGGAAATTAACAGGATTTAATCAAGACGAAAAATGCGGAATCGTGCGAAAAATAAAAAGAAAATATCTTTCAAATTCACGATCCAAAAATAGTTTGATTGAAGTGGTCAGTGGATCTTTTTTTCATGACAGAGACATGCTGAATTGACAACATATACATTATCATATTATTAATCAGCCAATATATTTTAAGATCGACGTCGATATCTGTTTAAATTTTTTTATAATTTCAGGATATAATTATAGTTTGTAACATTTTCTTTTCCGACATCAATCTACATAGGCGTACCTACCAAGTTTTATCCTCCAATTAGTGTGTGAGCAATAATTATTCACTGGCGCTACATATTATTTATTCATCTGTGATTTCAAAGATTTTATTTCAAATAAAAATATTGAGTTTTTTGGGTTTCAAAACACTCAATAATGCTAACTAAATTTAATTTCAATTTTTCTGTTTCAGCACATCGAAGAATGAGGAGTGTGACAAATTATTTTCTAGTAAATCTGAGCGTAGCAGACTTACTTCTGACGCTATTCAACTGCATTTTTAACTCAATTTACATGATTCAAAGGTAAGAAACTTTCAGTTTTATCCAACAGTTAACTATGTATGCTCTACTGAATACCTACTGATAATCGAATTTCACCCAAATTCCGTTCTCGACTTAACACTTCCGGATTGGCAATTATCACCCATCATCCCAAACTAATTGAATTAATTTGCTCAAGCTAGCGGAAATTTGCTCAATTGTCCTGGATTACCGTGGATGATTTAGATCGGTTCATTTGCACCTCTCTGGGCATCCTCATTTAATTTATTACCACTTGGGCCGATAGGCGTGTGTGCCAAATAACATAAATTTTTATCTACACTTTAGGTATTGCCTATTCTTTCGATTCCATTCGGTTTAAACGGTGAGCTGGACCTACATCTTGTAATCAGTGTCATGTGGGTAGTTTTAAGTTTATAGCTATATAAAAGTCAATTAGTTGAAGTTTAATGGGACTTTGTAAATACATACACCTATTTTTCATTCTTGAAAAAGAAATTAATAAGAATCTCAATCAATAAGATAGATATCTTAATTTAAGATAGGTATGTTTAATAATTTAGATGATAGCTGAGTATATTATATTTAAGTATAGTTTAAGTAAGTAATATAGATAATGGGCGGTTACACACGGACGTGGATGTCTTAATACATATACGTGCATACATCAACGTGCAACCAAGAACGTGCATGGCGCTTTTGTACACACGCTCGTACAAAACTGCAGTCTTGCTATTCTTGCTACAGTGTTCCGAGTGTGCATACAAAATTGCACATTCAAAAACGCGACGATATTTTGTATACACATTGATGTTTTTGTTTGCACGTTCATGTATGTGCGTACATGTTTTCAGACATCCACGTCCGTGTGTAACCGCCTAATAGATAGCTACATCACGTACAAGCAGATTAATTTCTGCTTCTGTGATTATTGTTTATTTGCTAGATGTAAGTTTTTTCCACTGTAAACTTGCTATTGTAAACTTAGTAAATAAACTTTATTATTATTATTATTCTTATTTATATGTGGCAAAAAATGGATTAATGGGTTGAAGCTGTAAGACTTGGATAAATTCGATTAAGGCTTTCAATTTGTCTTATGCTTTTTTCGTTCCTTTATAAAAAAAATCACAGGGACGATAAGGCATTTTTCATTAAAGACACTTTTGAGGCTGCCTCCGAGAAGGTTGAATCTTTTCCTTATCGGCTCAGCCTACTCCTCAAAACTTTTTTTAAAAGGACGTGGGTGTCTAGTGGTGCCTTATTTCAAGAGTGTTTCTACGCTTATTGTATTCTCAAAATTATAAGTATTTGTTTCCATTCCGACCAAAGTGACTCCTGGTTAAAATTTCGTACATTGGCAATTTTTTTCCAATCAAATAAATAGGAACAATTTGAGAATACTATGTTTGTAAACATTCTAAAAAGAAGTTGTTCAGATGCGCATAAATTTTGAAAACATATATGTTCTGAAATTGAGTTTCCATATCAGTTACTTGAAATACATAGATGAATTTGACAAACATAGGTAAACGTAATTTTTACTAACGGAATAAATACCCTCTGCCAAAAGTCGATTTTTCTGGCTTAAAATGAGTTTCCGCAGGCCTTATTATAGAGCCGGTTTTCTCTAAACGAAATTTCACTCAAGAACAAAATGCAATGGTTCTCGCCAAATTTTTATTTTCTTGATTGGCACTACGAAATGTAAAAGTTGGGAGAAAATTAGGGCACCTCCTAATTCGCGAATAACTTAACAAAGTTCTTCTTGAATTAACTTAACATCGAAGTTTTGTGTTTACATCGTCCATTTTCTTCTCAGAGCTATTTCGCGATTCAATTCTAGAAAAATAGGGCTTAAGGGAAGTATAGTCAGTAAGTATATGAAATTTCAAAATCTCTAACTTCTGTAAATAGTCGGTACTTATACAGGCTGCCAGTGAACTGCGTGCCTTTGTCAGTGATTACGGTTTTTGGACGGCCAAATCGCATGACGATTTCGTCATTCAGGGCTTGGCTGGATCCATTTGGTGGAACGGTCCTGGAACATGACAATGAAACAATTTCCTTTAAATGAACGGGGTGACGGCCCCACCAGATCGATACTGACGGTTTCCCAGAGGTCGTGAACCTTGGACATCTCCATTTTCCCTGAACTGTGCTTCGAGGATGGTGGAGCCCAGTTCCAAAGTCAAAATATAGCCGTTTTCGGTACTGATCGATTGGCCGTTTGCCAATAGGGTCCTCCTTGACATGTTCTCTGCATTTTGGGAAGCGATCCTTTTGCAGTGTTGGGTCAGTTTGTCGTCGATAAACGAGCTTGTAGCCCCGATATTCAGTAAAGCCAGGAATATTTGCTGGCCAACGGTAACCGGATGGTCGGTTTTCCAGACGGTTTCGGAGACTCTGGATTGGTGAGATGAAGGTGGAACTCCGTACTGTTACGAGTAGCAGTACGGCGCCGATCTAGATTCCCGCGGTACAGCGGCAGTCTCGGAATAGCACCCCTTCAGTTCCACAACGAGAGCAAAACAGTTTCTGTGGGTTTGTGCAGGTATCCCGAAGATGTCCGGTTTGGCCGCATCGCCAACACTTTGCTCCTGTGGGGTCCAGGGTGGTTTGCCGGGGTGCGCTGTTTACATTCGGTACTCGGACTAAGGGGATAAGGCCGGCTGACTGGGTTAGACGCTGAACTTGAGAGGGTCAGTCTGTGGAAACAGGATTACGGAGGGCCGAACTCCGCCGGGGTTCTCCAAGAGCGTTCAGCTCCTGGTGTAGTAACTCATATTCTCGCACCACCTTGAGAAGGATTGAATGTCGTGGAAGTCGGATCGGCGGATGTAATGTTGATATTCGGGGCGTGAGTTGCGGTATAGCCACTGAACATCTTAAATTGGGGAAATTCCACCATGCCTCCTAATCATGGTCTGCATGTCGGTAACGTAAGCTATCGCGGACTCCCCAGGAGGCTGAAGTCGGCGGCTAATTTTCTCTTCCAAGTCTACCTCATAGTTTACCGGAAAATAACAAGTGCGGAATCCTTGAATTAACTTATCCCAGCTTTGCCAATAATATCGTTTATTTCGGAACCACAGAGCGGCTTCCCCCTGGAATAGTTCAAGGAAACCTGTAGCAAACTGGAAGGGTTTACTTGTTGTCTGACACAGATTTCTTCCTGGGTGGATTGAGGGGCGGCCGGGGAGATGGGCTTGAATGGAACGGCAGAGGGGTAATGATTAATAATACCGTAGTGTGGTAGGGTTCGCAGGGAAGACGAAAGGGGTGCTACTTTTGTTTGGGTGTGGTTTCCATCCTTGATGAATTTAATCAGGCGTCTCCGAAGCTCGTCCATAGTGCCAGTGGTGTTCAATGCAAATTTCTGTAACTGCGCGACAACTTCAGGTCCTCGGAGATTGTAGATCCACCACACGAGAGTCGTTGGGGTCGGTTGGGGCATTTAATAAGGGGTTTGGTACTGGGGCAATGGTTACGGTCATAGTCACTTTGGTCGTGTCGTGACGAAACGACGTCGGGTCACTTGGTGGTACTCCTGGCGTAGAAGCAGGGCTGTTATTCAGTAGCGGCGATAGTATCTCTAATAGATTTACAATTGATATCGCACAATTGAACGCTATCTGCTATCCCATCTTCACTTTCCTGTACATTTGAACTAATAAATAGCAATTTTATGAACCGGAGGCAATCTGAACAAAACCTCTTTTCTTCTCTACTTGGAGTGGTTGATGAAAGGTGTTAGAGAATCAAATATAGTACCACTTACCACTTTCCTCTGAAGCTGCAATCACGTCTTTCTACCCGCACAAACCAGCACGTAAGATCTTTCTATGCCACCACCAGTGTTTAATGGGAATTTTAACATCAAGTACAAAACTAATTTTGAAAGAATAAAATTAATTTATTTAAAAATAAAAAGAAAAGTTTAGAGTTAGGTAATTGATTTAAAAAAATCTAAGAAAAGAGACTAATTATATTAAATGGTACTTCGACCAGACACTATTAAAATTACCTTATCAATAGACCAAAACAAATTAAACTAGAAAAAAAAAAAACTAGCACTTAAATAGGCTATTTTTAATTTCAATTCTATCACCTCTTTGAAGAGCCTTCACTAAACACTGGGCGGCAGATGAACTGGAAGATGAGTGAAACGAGTCAATAACTCGTTGAGATTTTGTGATTTAAGTTTCCGGCGACAACTGGCGCAACTGGCCTCAACACTCACTTAAAAAAGCAATGGGAACCACTTCCTGGTTCTCAAAGGTACTGCTTTAGAAGCCCATTGGCTATCTATTGGTACCAGGGTTGAGAGTTGAGAAGATCTCTAACCCTCCTAACTTTCAGCGATTCGCTGGAAGTACCCTCCCAGTATTTCTTAGTGTTTTTTCATTGGTTCTCAAGTTGCATCAACGTACCCTTTTTACACTGCTTCACCCTTTGATCCAGTTTGATGGCTCTCTAACAGAGCTCGCTAGTTACACGATGTAAAATTAATAATTGAATATTTAACGTTTTCTCCTTTTATTGAAATCCTTTTTTTCTATTTATGCCTCCTATTCGAATTTCCTGATTTCTAAACTAATCAAGGGTGTGAAATGAATTGAGCTATCCTCTACTAACTTATTCATAAAATAATTTAATAATTCACTCCTATCTTAACCTATTTTTGTCGCAATTATAAGCATTCAAGTATCTCACAGTTTTCATTTCACCTAAGTAACCCTTGATAATTTTATTGTTATACAATTTATGTTATTGTATCTTAGAAAATCTAGCTCTTATTATCTTAATTATTGTCTTCTTCCATTTTCATTTTCAGTATTAGTTACCTGATATCTGGGTTCATCATAAAACGTGGGGACTATTAGAAGATTATCCTGGACTCTAAATAACTTATTACAACCACATGTGATCTGGTACAACTACAGATTAGCTTAAAGTTTAGTGTTTATCTAAGAAAACATAAATGTTGCCTATATATTTGCCAATTTCGGGTTTTAGCAAAATAATCCTGAAACTATAAAATTCGATACCTTTTTGGCTTTAAAGTGATTTTATCCTCGACCAGATTAGTTCGTTCCCAGAAACTCCATGTGCTTGTAAATCCCATTAGGGTCACATTTCAACTATCTAAAAAAAAAAAAAATTGTTTGATAATTCCAAACAAAGATGAACTTGAACCGAGATTATGAATTTACTATTGATTCGGTTAAATAAGAGAGAAGATAGAGAATAGTATATTGTTATATTAGGAGTAGAAGCTTTACTTTTTTGTGCTGAAGCAGTAGGTTTGCGAGCCGAACGTAGTGAGGCTTGCAATACTGCTGAAGCACAAAAAAGTGCTTCTACT